GTCGCTCCCTCCATGAGCGGACACTCAATCACAGGGAAGGGTTAAAGGGAACAGGCTTGGGTGTTACGAGTTGCAGAGTACAGGCATATACGCTTATAAAACAGAGGCATACAGATAGACACGGGCCTATGCGTATATACAAACATGGCACGTGAACACGCAGAGAATAACATACAGATATATGTGCTGGAGTATACAGTTCTCATCTTCTCTTTCTCTCTCTATCTCTCTGTCTATCTATGTATACGTCTATCTCCGTCTATCCATCTATATATATATCTCATTCTGTCACTTTCTCGTTTTTTCTCCTCCTTTTTAACTCATATCCTTTTCTTATCTTGCTGGTCTTATTGACATATGAGCACGGACTTACGCAGATACTTTGTAAACTCACACGCATGCAGCCACTGGTATTTCGCTTACGCACTCGCATAAGCCCAGAAAGATCAAAGGTGAGCGACGACATGCATTTAAGTGCAATAATCAAGCAATATGTCAGAGTGTAACAGTGATGGAAAATATGTCAATATCAATATGCGATTCAGGTGCGTGCTGTAAAAGTCTACGGGAGTCCGCCCCGGATTTCATTACTAGGCTTACGAGTTATTAGATAAAAATGGTTCCGTTATTACATTAGTTGTTTTGGAAAATTTACTGCCGTTGGGGGCAAGGAAAAATAAAGAAAGGTAGTACATTAACATGTGTATGAATATCTACAGTGTATCTGTATCTGTTTATGTATACATACAGTATATAGGCATGTAAAGATATAAACAAATATTTTATATACATTGATACATGTTGACACATTTAGTGATATGTGTGTTTGTATTCAACACACACACACACACACACACACACACACACACACACACACACACACACACACACACACACACACACACACACACACACACACACACACACACACAGTGCTTAAAAAAATATTAGCTACATTTGAATGCGTTTCTCCATTCTTCTTACTGTTCGTAAGTCCCTCTCCGCCTCTCCCCTCTCAGATCACTCCCACTCCATTTCCATTCCTTACACCCCTCCCCATTTCCCTTCCTTACCCCCCTCCCCCACAGTTTTCCTTCCTTACCCCAGACCACCCACCTCGCCCCCTCCTCGCCCCCTCCTCGCCATTGTTGTGCCTTTGCTTAGACCGGGAATCGCTGGCATGTATCCCCGCTCGCTGATTAAGGACACCTTTGTAAATTGTCTTTGGAATTCGCTGTGACTGAGACTGATACTACTGTTTTGTCGAGGATGGGGGGGGGGAGGGAGGATGATTGGTAGAGATGTAAAAGGGGGAGGGGGGGGTAGGAATTGATTTCGGTGAGGGAAAGGGCGAGGAAAAGGAAAGGGAGAGGGGAGATCTGAAGAGAAGAGGAGGCAGACGTAATGGAAAAGGGGGGGGGGGAGATAAGGGTGATTTTAAGGGGGAGAAAGAGTGAGGATGATTTAAGGGATTGGGGAAAGGCGGGGATCTTTTGAGGTGGGAATGGGGGGGGATGAAGGATGAAGTGTGGGTGGAGGGGATGATTGAAGAGAATGGCAGGATAAGGATATAGATAGATTTGGAGGACGGGGAGGTAGGGAAATAGAGAGGGCAATAGGAATACGGTTATGGTGAGAATAGGGTGGATTAGTGGACAGATTACTATCCAGATGGACAAATAAACCGGTAGATCAGAAAACAAACACACATACTCACGCATCCTCAAAACACGCACACGCTCACGTGTATATATGTATATATATATATATATATATATATATATATATATATATATATATATATATATAATATATATATATATTATATATATATATATATATATATATATATATATATATATATATATATATATATATATATATATTATATAATATATATATATATATGTATGTATGTATGTATGTATGTATGTATGTTGTATATATATATCTATTATATATGTACACACCACACACACCATACGTACACACACAACGCACATACACATACACACATATATATATCTGAGTGTGTGCGTGTTTGTGTGAGTATATGTGCGGTGTTGTGCGTGCGGTGTGTGTGTGTGAGTGTTTGTGCGTGGTGTGTGTGAGTGTGTGTTGAGTGTAGTGTTGTGTGTGTGTGTGTGTGTGTGTTTTGTGTTGTATTATGTGTTATGTATATACATGTACATATATATTTGATATGCTCATATATATAAATATAATTATATATATATATATATATTATATATATATTATATTATAATATATATAATATATATATATCTATATTTATTAATGTATATGTACGTATATATGCATGCACACACACACACAGAAAGAGAAAGAGAGAGAGATTGATATATGCGTAGATAGATAGATAGATAAACAAACATAGATAGACAAATAGATAGATTGAGGAAAAGATAGAATAAAAAGAGAGAGGAAGAGAAGATTTCTTTTCACCTAACAGCCCTCCCAGCTGCTCGTAATAGATCAAAAGTTTTCTTAGTTCACCGCCAAGACGATATAACTTCTACTTCAGAAAGAAAAGCAAAACAAGAAAGTAAAACGTCAGGCAGCTTGCATGATACGAAAAAAAAAAATCGAACGAACAAAAACGAAATAGTATTAATAAAGGTTTACCGTGTCGGCTTTAGAAGTTAATCGTGATTATCAAGATATTTAAATCATACTAAAAAAACAAACACAGAAAACTGTAACACCACCGCTAATGATGATAATAGCGATATTGATATTGTTAATAAAACTAATAATAATAGTGTTCCCGAAAATAACAGTATCAACAATAACATCTCAAGTGCTGACCACAAAGCTCAACTCAGCTCCTCATGTCATAAAAAAATAACCATCATCATGCTCCTTATTTCCCTTGACAACGCAATCGGCTTTGTGGACAATTTTAACAGCAATAATTTAATTTCATTTGGGAGCATTTTACTTTTTGAAGAGAGAGAGAGGTAGGGAGAGGGATAGAGGGAGGGAGGAGGGAGAGGGATATGAGGGAGGGAGGGAGGGAGAGGGATAGAGGGAGGGATGGGATGGGAGAGGGATAGAGGGAGGGAGGGAGGGAGTAGGCATAAGGCAGGAGGGAGGGAGAGTGTATTATGAGTTGAGAGGAGGGAGAGAGGGAGGGAGGACGAAGTTGAGAGAGAGTGGAGAAAGCAAGGAGAGGTATTGAGAGAGTGGTGGGAGGC